AAATTATAAAGATTGATTAAAATTTGAATGATTTTTATTAGAAGTAATTATTAATTTTTATATTGAGATATAAATCTCTTTGCATTGACCCATATATTATAAAAAAGAATCAAATTATCTTAAAGAATTTAAAGAATCTTAGATAAGAATTTTTTATTACCAATGTTATGAAATGGCTCAGGATGTCTTTTTTAGTTTTTTGTATAAGTGTATTTTTTTCATGGTGGTTATGAGCTTATGATCTCTCAAATAATGATAAATTTTTGTTTTTCCTATTCTTTTGTACTTGGCAAGAGACCATTAAACTCTTACTGGATTAAATCATATTTTTCTTGCAACTTGCTTAACACTCATAACTTCAATAAAAATCACTATTTTTATCCTTGTCAAAGATGACCAACTGGTATGACAGATAAAAGTAAAAGAAGAAAATAATAAAAAAAATAGGATTAACAATAACATAAAGTGGGAAAACGCGACGCATATACTTTCCCATGTTGTTACACGTGAAATCGGACGTTATTTTTCGCAGCGACTGTACATGTACATGTATTCTATTGTCCCGCATCATTAACCAAAATCCCACGAAATTTATACAAAAATCCTTGACTTGTAGATTATTGAGATATTTCCGCAAAATTCTTCCTACTTTATGATATCAGCATCAACATTGTCCTCCTAATCTACAAAACAACAAACCTTACTTTGCGCTCCAAGAATTTGATTATCAGAAACTCGTCGTACCATATGTTATTTCTTTGTACATAAAGATTCTTACAAAATTTATATTAATTTCAAATTTATGTCGTTTATAATAACTTTACTTTATTTTATTTATAAGTAAAAATTCTTACTAAAATTCATACTTTGTACGTTAGATCCTGTGAATTTTGTAGTAAAGGATATATAAATGATTGGATACTCTCGAAGGACCGGGAGACAAGTCAATGTGTGGTTTAATAAATGAAAATTATGTTTAACTCGTTCGGCTTTTATTTCTTTTATGCTTTATGAAAATTCGATGAAATAAAAATACATTAAGATTCAAACTAAATACTAGCACTAGATTTGGTGTTCGTGATGGTATTTTGTATTCCCTCCTCAACCCTTTCCCTTCTACCACGTATAATTATTAATATCTTTCTTATTCACCCTGCTGGGGAGCTATATATGTATATAAAACCAAGTATTGATTGAATATGCTAGTCAGGTAAATACTAACTAGTAAGTAATATAGAAGATAGTATAAAATTATGCGGAAATAAATCTCAATTCTGTCGAGAAAAAAGAAAAAAAGGGAACATCGACACATTAATATAAAAAATAATCGTGTTGTTCGCATATATGATATATGCTGTGTATATTGCTAATCTCAGTAGTAAAAAAATAATTCTAATTAATATAAGAATAATGAAAAAATGTTGGTCATCCTAATAATAATAATAAATGTAATAGTATGTATTCACGGATGATCCTATTTAAATTCATTTTTGTCCTTGTAACAAATTATTGTTATTGTTATTATTTAGTGGTAATAATAGCAAGTATTGTTATTGTTGTTAATTTGATGGCCAAACCCGCCAACAATACCAAAACCAGGGGGAGCAATCGTAACAGGAGCCGAACCAAAAGACCCACCAGAATTAGCAGTAATACCTTTTTCTACCTTTTTAGAAGAAATTTGAAGATTATTACTATTATTGGTGTTGTTATTGTAAGATCCAAGAAAAGGGAAGGCAAAGCCACCAATTCCATTTACTATGTTCAAGCCTTGCTGAGCTTGAACAGATCCGTAGTATGACTGAGTGTAATTTGTGGATGGAAATTGTTGTCCGTTTGTTTTCGAATTTAAATCGATATTTACATAGTTCCCTTGTGTCATTGAATGATTTCCTCCAAATTTTGTTTTAACTGACGTAAGATGATAACCAATAGGATTTAAATTCGAAGGTGTTGGTGATTGTTGATGACGTGGTGGTTGTGATTGATGTTGATGCACTTCAAGATTGATGGTTGGCATGCTATGTCTTTTGACGTGTTGCAAGAGAGATGTTGATCCATTGCTAGAATTATTAGGGTTACGATTCGGACCATAATAAGAATTAATCAACGCTTGCTTAGCA